GCTACCAAAGGAAGTAGTCCCAGAAAGTTATCAAGAACCATCATTAGAAGGCCCTCCAGATGGGAACCATGTCCACTACTGAGGGTGAACAATATTTGGAGCCATTATCACTGTGAGCCACCACCAAGAAACCACAGGTGAGGCAGGAGGAACTTTCCAGCCCTCTTCCCATCCCCTTCCCTATGCCAATACCTTATCTATTAGGAATTCGAGGGAATGATGGCAAATATTGACCCTTCAATATACTCCAAACCGAGAGGAAAGAATAATTTCCTGTCAATAAATCTGGTACAGTTGAAGACTTAAAACTCTCAATGTGGGCTTTGCTGGATAAAATACCTTGAGTTCTAGCTTTACTTTCAGACTTTCAATAATTATAGTAACATTTATTGACCCTATACTGAGTACCATCCACTGTTCTAAGTATTTTATATGTATTTAATATATATGTTCAATTTATATGTATGTTATTATATCCATTATATCCTGTTATTATATCCATTTTACTGATGAGGAAAAGTTAAGTACACAAAAATTAACTTGCTCAAGGTTGCTAATTTGAAATGGTGAACACAGACAGGTAAACTCCAGATAGTGTGGTAAACAGAAAAAAATGGCTCCCTAAAAACATTCTAATTTCCAGAACTGTGAGTATGTTACATTACATGCCAAACGGGACTTTGCAGATGTGATGAAGTTAAAGACCTTGAGACGAGGAGATTAACCGGTATTATCCAGTTAGGCCCAATGTAATCACATGGGTCCTTAAAAATGGAGACTCTTTCCCAACTACAGTCAGAGGGAGATGTGATGACAGAGAGAGGTACCATTGCTGGATTTGAAGATGGAAAAAGGAATCCATGAACCAGGGAATATGGACATTTCCTAGAAGGTAGAAGAGGCAGGGAAATGGATTCTCTCCTAGAGATTTCAAAAAAGAATGCAACCCTGCCAATACCTTTGTTTTAGCCCAGTGAGACCTGTGTTGGACTTCTAACCAACAGAACTATAATATAATAAATTTATGATGATTTAAGCACTACATTTTTGGTAATTTGTTATGTCATCAATAGGAAACTAATATATACTGCCTTATTAAAAAAGAGTTATTTGAGCTATTTCCCTTCCTTGGGCAAGATGTTTTTATTATAACTTTAGGTGTATAGGTTGTTTCCTTAGTTTTGGATGTACTGCATGATAGTTTGTCCCACATTTAGTGCTCTGACAAGTGTTATAAGAAATTGAGCTTTAGTTCTTGCTTGCAGTTATAAAATTGTTAAGACGTCATTATTTGGATCTTTGATACATACAATAATGGCTTCTTGTTACTTGGAAGTTAGGAGATAGCTTTTAACCAAATAGTAGGAAATTATTCTAATTTTTAAAGTACAAACAATAAAAAAATAAATACTGTTTGGACTATGTAAAAAAAAAAACCACTAAAAAAATAAAATAAAATACAAACAGTCTGATGATTCTCCACCAAATTCTGTCATCAGTGCCAAAGTATTCTTTGAAGTTTCAGAATAAAATGAGTTGTTAAAAGGGTGACATATTGCTACAATGAGCTTTTTCAAAACAGTGTCAAAGTTTTCATATTTTTCATCAATATTTATCATAACAGAGACTATAAAACGAGTTCAGATTTATTTGGTCTCTTTTATATGGCAGTATTCATATGCACAAATACAGTGAAAAATTAGGGCACTGGCCTTTGCAGGCAGTCTTTTGGGGAACATTCCACCTCCACAAATAATGAATGCCATAGACCTTTATCAAATGTAGCACTCATTGCTTTCTGTTTCAACTAACATGGCAGTATGCTGGCTGATAGGATATATACAATAAAGAGGAAACTAAACCAATGGGCAGGAGCAGTTTCTCAGTTGAAGTTTATTGATTGAAAAGAAATAATAAAGCTTTAGAAAAAAAGCAATAAATGCTTCGGAAGACTCAGGCCACCATAAGAGTAAGCATCAAAGCAAATCTTCAGAACAGCAGTTGAATCCTGCAGAGCTATGTGATGGATGAAATTAAACCTGCCACAAACACCACATTTGTATTCTTTCAGCAGTCAGGTTGTGGAATGTTGCTAGTTTCTCCCAGCATTGCAGATATGATGGCTATAATTCAGCTCCTATGGTCTGGATTCATACAAACACTATTAAAACTGTTCCTGTACAATGAGCTGAAGAAAGGCAATCAAAATTAACTGGGTAGCAGAGACTTTGACTGCTGAGATAAAATAATAGTCAAAACAACTTCACCTCCAGCAACCAGAGATGTAGTGGCTTATTTTGGGCAACAGTGTTATTTTGTCTATTGTACAGAGACCCCAATAGCAAAATGGGGGCTATCAGGGGCTGATTATATATACAGTCTCCTCTATTGATGGAGTATGAGAGCTATGTGCCCAGTGAGGATAATATTTGTTGTCATGACCAGTGCCATTCACTGGTCTGGCAGATTAATCATTGAGCCTTATTTAACCTCTCTTTTTTAAATAACTAGTTTTCTTTTTTCTCTTCCGAATTGACCATTTGTACAACTGAATTGACCAAAGCTGTTAAAGCATCACTCTTAATAGTACCACCGTTACCCTAAATTTCTTTAAGTTTTTATTATGTTCTTAATGCTATAAGTAGTGCACAATCATTGTGGAAAAATAAGAAAACACAAATAGACAAAAAGAAAAAAAATCTGATGTCCCATTACCCAGTATAATTACTGTCAATGTTTAGAAGATATCACTCCAGATATTTGCCCACACAAATATAAATAAACATATTTCACCTAAAATAGTATCATATCACACATAATGTTTTATAACTCGCTTGTTTCACTAAACGTTTGTGTACTTCTACATCAGCCACCTAGGACCTCATTTTTAATGACCACGTATCATCCTATTGTAGGGATTTATTATAATTTCTTTAATCAATTCCCTATTATTAGACACTTAGGTACGGTTTATAATTTTTGTGTTTACAAATAATACTATAATGAACATATTAGTACATGCATATTGCATATCGATCCAGTTATTTTCTCAAGATAAGTTCTAGAAGTCTAATCACTAGGTTAAAAGTTATGTAGTTTTCTAGAGATTTTGATGCCAATCTGTAGTTTCATTTTTAAATGAGAAAAAAACAGATTAAAATCAGAAAGATAAAAATCATTCAAAAGCCTTAAATTAATAAGTTTGATACAGATCTGAAAAGCTGAATGAAAACACGAGTAGAAATATTTTAATTTGGGTCTGTTTGTGAAGCCATTTACACATGCATGCATATATTCACATATATATATACACAAACACATACACAAAGTTATGGGATAAAGTAGAAGTCATTAAGTTTATAGATCAGCAAGTGACACGGTTTTCTAAATAAAAGGCAAGGGTATTGAAATATTGCCTTCTATTTTATTAACAATTCTTAGGAATACAAAAAATTAACAGTAACTGTATTGACATATAATTCACATATCATAAAATTTGCCCTTTTGAAGTGTACAATTGAGTGATTTTTGTATATTCAGAGCTGTGCAACTATCGCCACTTTCTAATTTCAGAACATTTTTATTACCTTCAAAAAGAAACTATACACATTAACAGTTACTCCCCAGCCCCTGGCAAATGCTGTTTTCTGTTTCTATGCATTTGTGTATTTTTGATATTTCATATAAATGGAATCGTATAATATGTGGCCTTTTTTGACTGGCTTCCTTTGCTTGGCAGAATTCTTTCAAGCCTCATCCATATTGTAGCATGTTTCAGTACTTTATTCCATTTTATTGCCAAATCATATTCCACTATAACGATATACCACCTTTTTTTAATCCATTCATCAGTTCATTCTTTGGATGTCAATTAAAATCACGTCACCATCATGCTTAAAATCCTTCAGTAGCTCCTCCAAGTGATAAGAAAGTCTATGAAAGGCCCATCTTGAACTGGCCCTGACCTACTTGCTGGGCTGATCTGCCACATTCCCAACCCCACCCATTCCTACCCTTTCATCACCACGCCAGTCATAACAGAACTGCTTGCAATTTCCCCAATGTAACGGGCACTCCCACTTTTGTATGTGCCACCCCCTCCATCTCCAATATCCTTCTTCCCCTTATCTGTATGGATACCTTTTACGTCTTCTAGGATTCAGCTGTCAAGTAGCTCCTCCTCTTGGAAGCCCTGACACACCGGGTATAACCTGGGTGCAACATTTTTTACAATCCCTTATACTTCTACCATAACACTTGTCACACTGTTTTGTAATTATTGGTTTTCTTGACTTCTTCTCCATTAGACCATGAGCTACTTGAGGTCAGAAACTATATTCTGTATATCTCTGTATCACTAGCAATCAAGGCCCAGAATGTGGTAAACATTAAATATATTTTTTTAATATATATGATCAATAAAATTAATTTGACTTTTTAATAAACTAATTTAGATGTTTTATAACTATGTAGACATAACTTTATTTAAAATGCATATTGGAGTTTTCTTATGTTGAATTTGTTCATACACATTTTATATTAAAATTCTCAGTAACATACAAAGTAACATTCATTAAAATAAACCAACATGTATATGTAATTCTAGCAAAGCTTTTAATGTATACATTGAATTTATAACCTATAGGAGACATTTTAATGTAGAATAACAAGACAAATTCAGAATTTATATAAAAGATGATTCAGTATATTTCAAGTGATTTAAGAAAGGAATTATTAAAAATATGCCATGAGATCAATTTATAAATCATAATTGTACTTTCAAAACAAGACAAGCTTTTTTTGCAATCAAAGATGTTGCTTCTTACAAACTTGGCATGGACAGTGGTTCCTTGCTTAAAATACAATAGTAATCTTTGAAACTTACATGTATAAACTGTTTTTTAAACTGTTTTTGCTGTGTTCTGTGTGAATGAAAATTTATTTAAGCAGGCCCAATTATTGGTAATAGAATCCTAACCTCTGTTACTTCTGACTTATAGGGTATCTTTGTTACTAGGGTTCAACCTGATGGGCCAGCATCAAACCTACTGCAGCCTGGTGATAAGATTCTTCAGGTAAGACAGATAAAGAAATGCATGCAAATGCCAGCACTGAAACAAATATGTAACCATGTTATTAAGTTAAATGACTTGAATTAATGATTGAAAATAAGTCCTTCTCACATTGCTTATTTGCCTTTATTGTTTTGGGGCTGAGAGTCAAGTCAAAAACAATTCAGTCTGATAGAATCCTATATCCATAGCACCTTACATGATACCTGGCATGTGGTAAGTGTTCTGCATATTTTTGTTGAATTGAATGGAATTATTTGGTAATAGAAGAATTGACATATACACACACACACACACACACACACACACACACACACACACACATATAGGAATCTTTCACAGTTATCAAGTAAGAGTAATGCCTAAATATGGTGTCTGTGTGACTTTAATGAGAGAGAAGGGACTGGTCCATATTTAATTTCTCAACAATAAGCTTATTGCCATTTGAATGCTATGAAAAACCTGGTTATATCTTTCTACCCACTATCTCCCCACTCCCACTCAGATGAATAAAAGTTTTGCTGTATTTAGGGTGAGTTTTTAAAATGTGTTGTCTGAAAAGGACTTTTGCTAACTTAAAACTCTGCATATCAGAAAAGGGTCACCCTAGGAAACAGTTAAGCAAATGCTTTGCATAACCTCATCCATCTTGCTTTCTTTGTCCTTCTCTCTGAATTCACTTCCCATAGAAAAGGTACATAATCATTTCCTGCATTCCAGGGAAAGGCTCTTAAGTATTGTTGATGTATTTAAAATTCAGTATTTTGGCTTAGAACTCCAGAAATTTCCCACTACATAAATAGGTAGAACTACCTGAAATTGCTGTTGTTTGACCATTTGTAACTATTACTAAACGGTTCAACATAATATACTGAAGATTTAGGAGTGCTGAGAAGACAAGACATGTGAAAAAGGAACCTCAGTGAGGTCACCTAATACAAACACAATTACAAGAATGCATTCTCAGCTCTGCTCTGAGGAGATCTTCTGATCTCTCTACTTACTGAACTCTCTCAGGAAGTCCTAGAAAAGTAGAAATCCTATATAGCCCAATATACATATAACAAAATTGCCTTAACATTTTATTCTCAGAAATGTTTCAAACTAATTAGCAAGATCACAGTAGAAATACCATCCAGCAGGCCTGAGTTCATTCCATGTAGGCAGAAGATGAAAATGGAAGTGGGTCTTTTGAGTTAGAACACTGAAACAAACAAACAAAAAAAACGCAGAAGATAATCTAAAATTTTTCTTCACCACTTTATTTTGAAAGTTCTGTATATTTGGATGGCCTAACTAGTCCTTCGAGTACTTTACATCATGTCTATGGGCCTCAGATTCGTTATGTTTAAAGTGAACTGTAGCTTCTATCCGATATCCTTCCCATCTCAAAAATTCAAGTGTTTGATAATTTTATGAATTGCTGTGAAAGACAGCCAAGAATAAACTAATAATATAACTCCCTAACATTCAGTAAATGCCGCTTATTAGCAAAGGAAATAGATAACGTTTTTTTCTCTACTGAATTTCAAAGAAATTATTTTGAAATTTGGAGTTTGAGAAAAAAAATATAGCCAGTTAATCTCAGATCTCTGTCCTATTAGAATGCTACAAGGTTGGGAGTTCCTTCATCCATGACAGAGGTAGCAAAAGAAAGATTTTCCTCTTCTGTTTAATTCAGAAAAGAAATGTACACAATGTGCATCGTAACAAAATTATATACACATATCCTGCAGATGGCAAAATAAGTTAGTTCCTACTTGCAGGGTATTAGAATGCTCTTTTCTGGCTGTGAAATTCTAAAAGGATTGATGTGGGGTTATTAGGGTTTAATATTGCTAATCTCTGTGAGGAATATAACAACAGCAAAGTGCACAGAGGCATGGATTCCTAATGCAAGAAGTAGGAAGGAATTATTATATAAGCTCAATCAGTTAAAAGCCAAAAATACCAGAGAAGACCTGTATCTGGGATATCTGTCTATTCTCTTTACAAATGACTATTGAGGCTGTAACATTTTATTTTTGCTATGGAACTCATTTGTATCTAGTATAATAAAATCAAAGTCAATTTTCAGTAAAAAAAAAAAAAAAGAAAGAAAAAACCATATAGACCTCAATCAAATAAAATACTGTTTACAGTTTCATTCACACTAATTAAAAAGCACAAGTGGCCAATTATACCTTCTGAAAGAAACAGGAATGGCTAATTCTGAACTAAAACTGTTGCCAGCATCAGATGCTAACAAGGCAAACTATATATTTTTTCTCTTTATAATACTATTGTCTCTTAGTTTAAAGAACACTGGAAAATGGATTAATAACATTGAGTTATCTATCACTTACAAGATCAGCATCAGGCGTTCTCACTGGAGCAAATTTATTTACAAAGCTTAGTGACAGTGCTCACCCTGGAAAAATCAAAGTTAAAGGAGAAAAGAAAAAAAACAAAACAATGAAAGGGCCTCCCTAAGTGATGACACTTACTGTGTTTGAGAAAACCCAATAGCAAATAGCAAAAGAGATATATACCTTTCTCCAATGCTTCCCTAATCCAGAATTTATTAGATTAGATCTTTCTTTTTCTGTAATTCTTTTTATCTACTACTCTCTTCTTATTCTGCTATGGTATTATGAGCATGTTATTTGAATTACATGAAGATGTGTACAATAAGGGATGATGTTAATTAAAACATATTCTCATGATTTTTCTGTCATTTTACTATTCATTTTCCCAGAATAAACACACTATAATTAATGAGCACATTCAAGTGATTCGCTGAGCTATTTTGCCTTAAGACAGTGTGGCATATGGGAAGAACACTGTGCTAGTGGAACTCACCCTTCCCAGACTCACCTTCTGTGAAGCTGAATTATATAAGAATTAGAGAAAGAAAAAAACCGAAAGTACATGGATCATAAAAAAGATGTTATTAGATTGAGCCATTGTGCATTTGCCAATATTTGACCATTTTTGAAGTGACAATTTTGTTAATTTAGCATCAGAGTTTCTTTTTTCTGGTATTCTTTCCACTTAAAAATTCAGTCTAATTCATTATATGTTTTATAATTCAAAATATATCTAAGTACAGAAAATCTATTAATTATAGTTATTCTGTTGAAAAGATGAATAGGCTGGAAAAAAAGAATATATAGTACTTGATAGTTAACAGCATGATTCACAGTAATAGCCTAAAGCTCACTTGTAAGTATGTCATGTTCTGTTCTATCAGAGTAGCCCACCATTCTCCCCTTCATTTACCCACTCCCTTCTCCAGACATGAGCCTAACTTTGGCAGGAGAATAGAAATTAAATAATTTATAGAGAATTAGTTAATGACATCCAAATTTTGCCATTAATCAATGTAAATATGGCACCCAATTAAAGATACCAAAATAGGATAATCAATGAAATAATAATTCGAACGAGCCAGATGTTTCCCTTTTTTTTTCTAGTCTTAAAAAACCTTGGCCCTACAACTCATACAGACAATTTAAGAAACCACTCTCAACAAATAAGTCTGTCAACAAATAGTTGGACTATTAGCAGAGTTATTACTCTGCTTTTCTCACTTTCTTTTTTAGTTAGTTGTTGGCAAATTGTTTGGCTCAGAGCATCATATCTCCACCAAAACCATGGGGCGTGGTACCCATCAAGCCTATCACTGCTCCGCTCCACAACCACTGACGACACTGCTCCACATCCTAATCAGTGTCTTAAAGGGGATGTCATTAGAAGCCCTGTAATAGACAGGAGGGAAATCATGTGCTCCTAGCTAGGGAGACAAGATCAATGTATGCATTCATTAGAAAACAATAAAGTACTTGATTTTGTAACAAGACAGTTTGAAGATAGCTTTCAAGGCTCAGAGTGTGAGACGTAAGTTTAGACTCCACAGAAGTCTAAATGAAATATCTGTGGATGGCTGGATCTGTTGTACACCAATATACAGTGCTATATCTGTATACAACCAGTGAAGCAAATCTTCGTTGTTTTAATGGAACTTTTATGGCTCTTTTAATGACCAGTAGGTGTGATTAGCTGCTAAAAGAATTATCTTACTTTGGTAAAGCCTATTTATTCAACAGCCTCAGCTATCAGGAACCAAAACATAAACTAGAAACAAACAAAATGCTTCTAAGGAAGCATAATTAATGTCACAAAGTCCATGCACTAAATCTCATGTCTTTTACTCTTAACAGAGGATCTGTTTCATACTTGGAATCTTTTATCTAGTTTTCCAGATCACCAAGGGTAAAGCCTCTGGGTCCAGGCACATTACCAGAAGCACAAAGTCATAGCCAATGGCTTCACTGTGCAGGAATAAAGACAAAAACTTCTAAAGCCAGAGACAAGATTCAAAAGTACAGCAGACTGGGGTCATTTGGTATAGAACAGTGTTTCCCAATGGCATCCTTTCAGACATGTTTGAAAGAAAGAGTTCATGGTCAGATAAGTTTCCGAACCACCTCATACTCTATCCCTAGTTTCAGGATTTCACAATGTACTAAGAATACTAAAAACCCTAAAAATCTTACAAACTTATATCTTCCAACATGTTTAACCACACAACCCTCTTTACTAACAGCATCAATTAACCACTCCATGGAACACATTTTGGGAAATGTTTGGTATAGAAGCAAATTAACTGGGCCCATGGTTCTGTCCCAGAGAGTGTTGATGTTCACCATTATCACCATAAATCATTAAGAAAGAGTTAGTGTATGTTCATTTTTCTGTATTTTTAAAAATTTCCCTCAAAAAAGTTACAAAAAATACAGAGTGAGAAATATTTTTTTATGGTTAAAATGCAGTGTTGGACCCTTAAAGGAATAAACTTAAGATATTTGAAAATTTCACTAATGTATTTCCCAGTAAGGCCAAACAATTCCACATTTCTATAGTTTATCTAATTTGTGGTTGAAAATCAGAAACACCAGAGGTGCTGGGGACTGGGGGGAGTAATCATGTAACTCTTAGTGTTCAGAGAAATTATTGGTTAT